CTATATTCTTCGATTGCTGTTGTTCAGAATACATCTCGAGCGATTTCTATCATAATTTTACATTAGTACACCGTGCTGGCTGAGTTCCAGGACTGGCCTGTCTCGAGAGTTGTGACAACCCCCAATAATCGAAAACTTTTGTTTTTTTCAGTGCAGCCGAAAATGTTTTCTTGTCTTCTGTTAGAAAAAGTGGTACTCTTATTAGAAAAATCCGACACAAACTCCCAATGTTTGCTGCCTCGAGTCAGTCCTGTTGAGCTATTAGTTTTTATTTTAGTTTTACATTGACTTAAAAGAACTAAAACTTTTGGAAGTCATCACTGTTGTTTTCAATATATTAGAGAAATACATCACTATATAGATATCGATTTCGGATCAGTACAATTTTGTTTAATGACACTACTTCTAAATAAAATTTTAGATTCGATTAATTTTATATTATATTACATACAAATGAATAATAATAACTCTTCAGTTTATTTTTATTGGTGAATTTATTCGCTCAAATGAAAATGATTTCGTTCACTAATGTAATAGAAATCTGTTGATAGCCATAGACCTCTATTAGCAGTGTACAATTTTTACACATAGCAGAGAATTGAAATGCATTATAACCAGGGTTAACCCAATGGGTTACCCGGCGGGTTGGGTTGAAGGGCTCAACCCAACTCAATGACCCATTCGCTTAAATAGAAATAAAAATTGGGTTGAAACCCATCTGTTTTCTCTATCAGCTACCGTAGGGTCAACCCTCGGATTGAGAAAAGTGATTTATTCGGCATCTCTGTTTACAACATCACCACTTAAATTTTGCCTTCTCTCTTCCAAAATTCGCCCGTTTGCATTAAAAATACGTTCATGTCGAGATGATTTCGAAGACTTTTTTTATTACATTTACATGCACATTTACTCGACAAATAATCAAAAGTGACTGAACTCGTCAGCTTATGTGAAAAATAGTACTAAAAAATAGGTCATTGTTTTCCGTTTGCTGCTATTCTATCTAATGAATTTTGATTATGATATCACTTCTTACACTGTTTTTGATCAAAAAGATGTCAGAAATATATATTAAGTTCTACTCTATAAAATTTTTATTTGTGTGAACTACACCCTACTTGTATCCTATATATTTTTTTTGAAACCTTACCCTGCCGTGCAGGACAGGGCAAGGCTAGGGGAAGGTTGTCCTGCAGGACTCTAATCCGAGTCACTCCGAGTCATGCATTAGAAAAGTTTTTCATTTGGCCCTATGAACATACAAATCTTCTTATACAAGATTATTTTGTCAACTTTTTCTAATTTTTATTCTAATTTAATATGTAAGTATCAAGTCAAAATAACTTATCTTAGTACTTTTTTCAACCAATGAATTCAAATGATCATAAGAGCCTACATATATTATCAAATAGGTGTGATTCTTGTCAATTTTTCTTTTTCGAGTTAACTTTACCGACTAAACCGGTCGGTGTGAAATAAAAATCAAACAAAAATTTTTATTACATCAGATTTCATATGTTGTCGATAGAATTGTTGTATGGCTGCATTCTGATCACTAAATAACTCTACTATTCATTTCATACTGTCTGCTTTTCAAAAATTAATTGCACGCGTAGATGCACGATCGTTTTTGTAACAATGTTAAACCTCTTGTTCTTAAAAAAATGAATTATCTTGATCTTTTAATGTACTAGCTAGAAAAAATTGTCCTCATATTATTGCAGCATCAGTGTAACTTATTTTTACAAATGATTTCTTCAAATTTTTGAGAATCTAATATTTCTCTTTACTCATTTTTTACAAATGCAACACATGATCTGGTTTAAATGATCATAATCAATTCTTGTTCGACATCGATTTGAAGATAAAGTTTGTATTCACAAAAATAGCATGCTTTTTAAATTGCAGTGTATCACCATTAATATAGAGCAGCTGACTTAATTGTTAATAATTTGTTGATCACTCCAGAAGAAGAATGTCATTTTATTTTCGGTATAATCTAAATTGATTTCTTTGGATTAAAACTAGAAAATGCGCCTCTTGTAATAAAAAAAAAACTCTAGGTGTTCACATTTTTTAAACATATCTATAAAAAAAGTAGCAAAAATATCTTGAATCAAGATATGTCTTCGATACCGCCATTATTTCTTTTTTCGTTGTTTCACTATTGAGTAAGTTTTATTGACTAGAAATAAATTCGAATCAACACATGTCAGAACAAATTGATCATTACTCGCTACTGAATTGACAATTCTACGTAATCAATTGACCGTGCTGTCTACAATATTTAATAAATCAATCGGATAAATCTTTGATTTTCCAATCTAAATCAAACTATCATCTAATTATTATTGATAAGCCTACCACAAGATGAATGCCGATGTGTTCGATTTCATTCAATTTTTATTCTAAAGTATCTGCCGCTAATGTCAGTGACTTCATATAGTATTTTCTTGTTTCGTATTTATCGATCTGATCAGCCAGTTTTAAACGTAGAAAAAGCATTCGTTTCGCTATTAGTCTTATTTTGCTCTTGTATATCGATCACATTATTCATATTTTTCTTTGTAAAAAGTTCGATTATGTGACAATAATTTATACGTCATAGATAAAGTTTTTGATGATTCTCATAGATCATCTTCTCAATATTTATAGATATAACTCAATCGTCTAATGATTAGAAATTCTTAGCTAAGGAATTTAATTGAGAGTTAAGCATGTCATCATGTTCATTGAAATGAATCCGACAAATACTTCGATTACAACAATTACGTAAAGTATATGACGCACGTTTATATGGTGTAACAGGATATGGTTTCGAGATTACTTAAAGTAAAAATAAAGGACGTGTTATGAGAATTTTTAACAAATGTGACATTTATAACAAAAAAAACGTTGCCAACTAAATATGTGCTTTTTGTTTCGTGTGTATTACGTATTTACTCTCATCAAAACCAAAAATTTGACGTTGTATGCCAGATAAAGAAGGAAACTATATTTGCTGAGCTTGACAAGGAAAATGAAGAAGGATAGTTATTAGTACTTTTTAAATTATGAATCCATACTAATTATTTTGAACTGATCGTGTTGAAAACAATGGACCTAAAATAAATGACCCTATGATCTATTACTTTCGAGTTCATTCATCAACGATAACTCAGTTAACGTTAGCATGTCGTTAATAAGTGAACTACATACTTGAAAATATAATAACTATGTGTTAATATTTGTGTAGTGATTCTATAGCAAAAAGAACTGAGTACGTATGTTTAAAAGAAAATAAGTATATCTATAATTTAAATTACTTGGAGCATAAAAATGGACAACATATTCAGTGGAGGTATGCTTTTTTTATACCGTCTGTATATAAGCTATTGATGAAAAACTGCTTCCAATTATTGCAAAGAGTAAAGAATTACTCTTTAAATAATTTTAATTCTTGAATTAATTTAATAGTGTCATTTTTCAAAGTACATAAATATCTCAATCACAGTAGATCAGTCAACATGCACGGGTGTACTGTATACACAAATTTTCTTTCCCCATAAGACTTTATCACTATCATCATTAAAATGAACTTATCGAATCTAGAGTAAAAGAGTAGATTGTATTCATAAAATATACACTTTAGCTTTTACACATTTTCAATCTTCTTTTTACTCAACATCAAAATCGATACCTTTGTGCCATTGCGCATGGCGACTATTTTATGGTTTCTTTCATCTTAACGACAACTTGTTTGCCGAAACGAAATACATCTGACAGAAATTCTTACTGATGTGACTTTTTTCCCTAGTGTATGCTCAAGCATGTTAATTTTTACATATAAGCTAAGATTCTTATTACCTATAGTATTTATTGTTAAAAGATAGAATTTCTCATAGCAAATACTTTCATATAATTACATACGCACAGCGAGAAATACCAATATCGTATATGTTTCTTCCCTATAAATATCATACATCTTAACTAATAGCAATCTTGATTCTAGCAAAAATAGAATGTTATGCCAAATAACATTCAACGAATTATAATAAATGTAAAAGAACCCTATTTGTTTCGCTCTGCAATCGCTCATTTCATTTTTCTCGTGGACATTTTATTTCATGTGATATGAACCTGTCATAAAAATACTCATTAATAAAACAAATAGTTTTCGCATTCAAGAGAAGCAATACTTTTAAACATGATCTCCTCTTTTTGGTTTGAACCAACACATGAGATGTGCAGGACCAGAATCAGAACTAGCTTTGTGCATCTCTAGTCCAGGCCTACATATCGTAATTCATATAAGTAAATATCTGTTTCATTGAAAATGTTTGTAGACAATACTGCAAGCAACAAGGTAACAAAAAGGCGAGAAATTCTTCTTTTTTCTTGAAGACGAAATGAAATCGCTCAGTAAATAATTGCAATTTTATTCATGAACTGCATGTTATTGAAGTTCGAAGCAAATATGAAAATGCGATGCGAAGCTCGAATCTTGACTTCTTAAAGAAAAGGTGAAATTCTTCACTGAGAGAATTCTATCCATATGTATCGATATGTACCAATATGTTCAGCAGTGTCCAAGAACTGATAAATAGGAATTTCTAATCTACCGCGAAATTGTCAGTGCCGCTGTGATAATCCCTAGAGAAAATGAGAATCAATCATTGGTTCCCTCACAGTTCCACCAATCACGAAAGTCGGGATATTACTTTTTCTTTAAATAATTTGTGCGCGGAACTATTGATTCTCACAATTTTGTAGGTGAACATGAGTGTAAGAACAAAATTCCATATTTTTACCTTCAGTATGCAATGAACTGTAGTGGAATTGAGGAGGAATTCCTAATTCTCAGTCCTTGGACACCCCTCGTCTCGCTTTCCTCCTTTTTCGTACCATATTAAATATTTTTATTTGTATAAAAGAAGCTAAAGAGAAATTGATACGAACGTGTCAAATATCATTTTTTATTCTCTCCTTTTCATATAATATGATTACACATTCATTCCTCGATGTGTCGTCGTAGAAATCGTGTTTTATTGCGTTGTACTCCAATCACGATTCTTCTCACCATAATAACTTTTTCTTTTATAGTAACATCATTAATAACGCGACATAGATCCAATTTTACACCGAACATTGTTGATCAAACGATTATTCTTGTTCGCACATCATATCACTGTCAATCACGCTTAATTTATCTATTACAAAGTTGGATTCCATCAAGCTTATCCGAACAATCCAATATCTATCTGTTAACAGATAGTGTGCCAAAATATTCTGGTCAAACAATACTAAATTCATTTAAAAATGTAATTGAAACAAACTGTCCTGAAACCCATAATCGATTTGATTTATGTTGTAAAACAGCACATGAGTTCGAACTATTCTATAATCTATCTCAAACAAAACCCACTCTTGAATGGATGTGTCGTTTTGATGATGATCAATATGTTAATCTAAATAATTTATATAAATTTTTATCGAAAATTGATTCATCTGAACCACATTATATTGGCAGAACAAGCATAGATTATCGATTGAGAACTGCGAAAGAAAATCGAACATATACATTTGCAACATATGGTGCTGGTGTATGTTTTTCAGTTGCATTACTTGAAAAACTTCGTCCACATGTTAACAAAACTATCTTACCACATAATTGTATAAAACGTGGAATATCGGATGATGCTTATATAGGTTACTTAACGGAATTTATCCTTAATATATCGTTGATATCGTTACGAGAGCTTTTTCATTCACATTTAGAAAAACTTGATAAATCATATCATTCTTTTAGTATCATTAATCTGAAAAATTCAATAACACTTGGTTTTTCCTGGGACCGATACAAACTTTCATGGTTACCAATCATTCATCAATTAGTACAATTAATGAATAAACAAGAAACATACGCTGCTAATATTTTATGGATATTTTTGCAAAATTATGAAAAGGAACATCCAGAAGATTTAAACAATAAGCACGATGAATCATGTACTTCATATATAAAGAAATTGCAGCAATCAAATAACTTTAATATAAAATCTAATAAAACAATTTGAAATTAATTATATGATAATCTCATAAATAGTAAAAGGATCAATTTGTACAACTATATTAAATGGTTTCATGAACGAGACTTGCTTTTCTTATCGTCCTATGGTGATAGTTTGAAGCAAACCCTTCTACAGAATAGAAGCCCATGGGTGGTGTCTCTGTTCCACAAACTATAGTTTTGTAACAAACCATGTCCTGATGCCTGTTTTTGCGTTATTTGATAGAGAAATGTTCATCCTTTCATTTTTCATCCATTTTAGTTCATTTTTCATGAAGTAAACCTTGATTTTTAACGGAGAAATCTAATCCAGAGGGTGAGCTTCTATTCTGTGTAGGGGTTTAGTCAAAATTAAAAATCTGACAAGATTCTTTTTTTATGCGCTTAATTTCAATGTGCTTTTTCTAACAGAATGAAAACAAAACAATTAGGATTCATTGGTGGAGACTTTCTCAGCCAGAATCACAGATTTCTATCATGTTTCCTATATGATATAGATTAGAAATCGTGTGATACACTTGTTTCTGTTTAGAAAATTCTCGATAAAAAGCACAACATAATAGTAAAGAGCCTCAAAAGTATCATATATATTTGGGATTCAATTTTTTTAGCATTATTGAATCTTAACATATGATATCAGTCACAAAATATTATTTTCTGATAGTCAGTGATCTTATTTTGTAGATTTTTTTCTAACCTAGTAAGATATCGTTTCTTTTATCTCCAATCATGATGATACAAAATATATGTACTATATTTTTAACGGTCTAGAATGATTAATAACTAATCGAGATTTTCTCTTTATTCAAAAAACAATTTCTCTTTGTCTATTCAGAATCTTTATAAAAAGAAACATTTTTTAAAATTCCATTGATCCATATAACTTCATTCAGGCTTGTTATCTTTTTGCATTGATTAATTATCTTAAAAAAAATTTTATTCAATATATTCTTATAAAATTATCATCCATCAATTCAATTGCTGATATCTATTGATTGGTTCAAGATTCTTTTTGTTCTCTAGTTGAATATAATGAGTCATGAGAACTTGTTAATCTACGTATATCATTATGTCAATAACTATTCAAAGGTATGGAAACGATCAGAAAAATATTTACATATTTGACTCGAGGAAGCAGTAAGACATAAAAAAAACACATATGTCCTGCCATGCCAATAGTAAAAACAAAAAGACTTGTATTATTATGTGAAAACATCGGTTTACCAGATTGATTCAGTCTGTTCTTAATTAAAGATGCACATATTGCTGTTGTTGTCGTAGATTATTTTTATCTATTAAGCTATTGATACCAAATACCAGGATCTCAGAATAATTCTCTTGCACAAGTCAGAAGTCAAATTTTCTTTAAAATGCGAAATTAATGATTTATTCTATTAGATGATTTGACAAAATATGTCAATGTATAATGATTTAAACAAGATATATAGTAGTATTTCTTATTATATTCTTTGTCGAGTGCAATATGTCACTATTCATCATTATAAATATTAACAATTTTTGAAAGGATCCGATAAATACTTAACACATATAACATATCTTAGATTATTTTTATTATGAATCTGTCATCTCTCCTCTATACGATATTTCAATATGTTGTGTTTGTTTTTCTTTTTTTGTATATATTATAAAAATAGATGCAAAGCAAAGATTTTCTAGTTCTTTTTCATCAATTTAATTACTTTATGATCTAATGATGAGAAGAAAGCCGCCAAAAGAAAAGATGTCGTCAAAAAAGTTGAGACAACTGTCATTCTCAGCTCAGTTAGTATTCACTTCCGTTTTTGTCTTCTGGATTATTTCTTGAACAATCACAAAAAAATTGAAGCAAGATGCGCTTGAATACATATATATCATGCATATCAATCGAAGACAATCACTTGAATGAATGGAAAGAAGAAACGAAAAGGCATTGATTTTTTTCTTCTTTTTTTTCCACGGTAGTTAGTGCGCAAAGGAACTTGTGAAGCGGAATTATGTGATTCACAAAATGAAATTACGAGTTGGTTAAGAGCTTTTTCTTTAGTTTTTCTTCGTTTCATCATTGATGGATCAGTAAAAAAGGAAACACGCTCGCGCGCTTTTATCAACAACAGCATGAATGAACAAATCGTTTGGCATTCGTTCATCCATCTATATTTGCGCTCAAGGAAGTTGTGGGAGTAAAATAAGGACAGTAAAGTTGTTAATTTTTCTGAATGGAACTTTTTGATTTCATAAACAATAGATAACATGTTTTGATATCCGTCTTTAGTCAGAATAGATCCTCTAATATATTAATGCACGTATGACAAGGCAATATTATGAAGAGATCCATTTTATACTCATAAAAATATAAAGCTTTTTATCGGATCAATGAAATATTAATGTTTTGTGTAATCGGATGATTACATCTTTCTTTCGCTCAGTCGTTCTTTAATCTTAAGATATTGATGAATTTCACTAGTGTGATACTTTCGAGCAATAGGAGAAAGCAATGATAGTGACGATGGTTAATCTAATTCGATTTAGTAAATGCGACGGTCCATGTATATGTGCTCGTCACTAATCCATTGAGCCGAGATAGTAAATCTCATCTTTTCGCTTAGCAAGCAATGATGATTTTTAATCTTTTGCAGAATGATGAGCGAACAAGAAAAAAACGAGATCTAGTGTAATTCCTTCTATTCATCTAGTGAATTAGATTTTTGAGGAAAAAAAAAGAGAATGTACGCTCATACGTTGCCTGCAGAGAAAACAAGAGAACAGCACGCACATCAATCTGCAGACATCGTCGAGGAGAAATAAATCAAGTGGACGTTTTTCATCGTTCATCAACTTGATAAATATAACAGTAAGTCAAGTTAATTAAACAATACGTCTTGATTTTCTTATTTAAAGATTAATGTACTCTGGCTTCTATTAAATCGGTCACTCTATTATGAATTCCATAGAGATTTATTCGAATCATTAAATACAATATCATATAACTATTGAACATACTCTGTTTAATAGCTGGATAATGAATTCGTTTATGTAAAGAGAACAGTGTTGGAAAGAGTAGAGCAGTGTAAAAAGAGATAAAAATGGAATACTAAAAATCAATTATTAAATGTGACAAACTATATTTAGTTTAATTGAAAGTAACAAACAAATTAAGAATAGTTCGCATGTCATATTTTAAACAGAAATCAAGATTAGCTATTTGAAAGAAAACAGGTGAAACCTATAAACTTAAAAAGATCAGAGAACAAAGGACAGGAACTCATTTTATATTTCATCCGATTAATCAAAAAAGAAAGAAGCATTAACAATTTTATAAATTTATAAGATATGAGATTCATTAAAATCAAGTACTTATTGTTGTTTTGTGCTTAGAAAAAAATATATATTTAAATTCTTTCATATGGATTAAACTTGTTTATATGATAAAAACACACAAAAAACAATTTAATCTTAACGCTTTTTATTCCTTCTTTCAATATAGTAATATACATACATATATATATAAAGGAAGCGAGAGAGAGAGAGAGAGAGAGATGAGTCTTCTCTTTTTCTTATAGATCATTTGTACTAGATTTGGTCGAAAAATTGATTGCGATCGTTGTCATGAATTCTTCTCTTTCTCTTCCACTTGTTACTTGCAGTTGTTAATCGTTCGATTGATTCCCATATTATAAGACACATTTGGATAAAATCAAGTTACGAAGTAACCCTTCTTCGACAACACCACTTAGCATTTTCTCCAATCTGGATCATATGCAACGATTAATTCTCCTTGGCACATACATTACTCGTTGTCGATAACGATTCTCGGGAATTACGCTAGGCTTCTTTTTTTTTACTGAACTCTTCATATTGTTTTCTTCCGAGAAATCTTTTCAAAGAAATTCAATAAAAGACAGAAAAAAAGAAAAAGACTCATCAGAAATAGAATATTCAAGAATAAATACAATATCTCATTGTTATGAACACAAATAAATATTATTAAGGTAGAGACTTTCGGATACACGCACATACACACACACATATATATATATATATACATATCATTTCAATCAGATTCTTAGAACATAAGCTTTTTAATCACTATTATATTCTGCTGTTTTTCTCTTTCTGCTATATGATCTCAACTATAACATGCACATGTTTTTGACAGAGCTTTCGTGAGTTTAGAAAACAGAAAATTTCATAATTAATCATTTCCTATTCTAACCTTTTTTCTATTTTCATATCTAATATTTTAATTAAAATTACGTCCAACAGTTCTTACCCTTGATGCTTCTCTTACATAGTACAACAGATATTTTTTATAAAAGTCTTGAGAATGACAGAAAAAAAATGAAAACATAGCAAATCTTTCTAAACTATATCCCAGTGAAAAATATTCGCTGATTTCAGTTAAATGGTTGTGCAACAAAATCCAATCCGCAATCGGATTGATAATTTTGATTTTAATCGACCACCATTCAGCCCAAATTTAATGCTATTGCTAGCTTAGTGGAAACTAGTTTGATTAAAATCTGATTGTTCTGTAGCACAATTCGAATTATCAATCGATTGGCAATGTGGGTTTTACTGGAAAACAATCCGATTTCAATCAAACTAATTTTCACCGGGCTAGCAATAGCATTAAATTTGGGTTGAATGGTGGTCGATTAAAATCAAAATTATCAATCCGATTGCGGATTGGATTTTGTTGCACAACCATTTAACTGAAATCAGCGAATATTTTTCACTGGAATAGGCGGTGCATTGGTGTGCGATCAAATTAATTAAGAGAGTGAATGCAAAGAGCATAAAAAAGTAATTTCTCTATTCCACTATGGACGTATATATATATATATATATATATAGTTTTTCATTTTTTTTCCTATTATTGGTTGTGTAACACATCCCTAATTTCATATCGAAGATATTTACCTAATATTGAGGAAGACAATTTATATATTTTTTTTAAATGGTCGAAAAAAATAATTGTGCGCAAATAATATTATTAGAAAGTCAAATATGATCCAATTGAACACACTACTGTTCATTTGTATTTTGTATAAATAAAAGAATTAATGTCAATATTAATTATGTTTCTTTTATAGAATATTTTTTCCGAAATGCAATTTTTTTAATTTTTTAATTTATATCCTTGATGTTCTTCATATTTCTATTTAATGTAAAAGTGCAACTGACGTAAGTAAGAAAACAATCAAAGTTAACACAGAGAGATATTTTATATTTAAATAATATGAATAGAAGAAACAAAAGCCAAAAAATGTATCCTATCGAAATCGTTACGTTTATAAAAGGGCTTCTTATGTATGATGTAGATTAAAAACAAAATACAAAAATCATTAAGGCTTCATGTACTTCGATATTTCTTATTATTGTCTTTTCTAATAATTTTACATTCATATAGATTTTATTTTTTTATTTTTATATAGTCAGCGATGATATGTCGTAGCCATCGCTATCATCGAGGTGACTTTAAAATGGCCATTTTGATCAAACATATACTAGATTCATTCTCATCAATATCTACATGTCATCCTTGGTCAATCTAGGCGGTAATCATAACAACGACGCCAATGTATATGCGTTGTTGTTTAATGTTAGTCAAAGAAATTTTGTTCAAACATTATATACCACTACCTATCATCCAAATTGGTCTATATCCCATATACCAGGCCCACCACAATCGTCATTGTTAACAACTGTAAAAGATAATTTATCGGAGGATAGTTTTTATCCATTTTGGTTATTAATTCTAATTGCAACATTTGGTAGTATAACATCAGTATTAACAGTTTTAGGAAATATTCTTGTAATGCTTGCATTTTTTCTTGATCGACAAATTCGGCAACCAACAAATTATTTCATACTTTCACTTTCTGTTAGTGATTTTCTTATTGGTCTTTTATCAATGCCTTTACTTACAATATATATCTATGCGAAAGAATGGCCATTAAACGCAATTATATGTGACATATGGCTTTCACTCGATTATACTGTTTGTTTAACATCAATTTATACAGTCTTGTTCATTACAATCGATCGATTTTGTTCGGTAAAAATGCCAGCTAAATATCGTAAATGGCGAACAACACGAAGAATTAATATTATGATTGCTATGACATGGGCAGGTAATTTAAAAGAATATTTATGATAGTTTGTTTTTCTAGTGCAAAGTTTTTATTGAATATCTAGTTCCTACCCTTATTTTTTTTACATCGACTATGCTTTATCCACGCTTAAAAGGAGTTTCAAATATGCAAAATGGTGTTTGTAAGTATTTCGAACCGAAAAACATTTCTTTATTTTTATTAATTGGATTTCTATCTGATTTTAATCTTTAAGGTGATGTTCAATGGAATAAAAATCATGTATTTAATTTATGCTTAATTATTGGCTATTTTTGGACAACATTATTGGTTATGATTGTTTTATATATTTTTATATATGGTATTGAATTGCATTACTTATTTCATATATATATTTTTTCATCAAATATTTAGGTGTTGCAAGAAATCTAGAGAGAAAATCTCAAGAAAATGCTCGTAAAACTTCGTCACTTGTTGGCATGGCCGGTAAATCTATCATGAATACAATTGAGAAAAACAATTTGATTTCTTGAAATTACTATTTTTTTCTCTTGCTCTATAGGTAATACAATGACACAAATAGGTGTTGGCATAGGAGTCAAAAAATCTCCAACAAGAACACTTCAAGATAAACAAAATCATAAAACAGATTCAACAACAAATCATACTGAAAATGATCAGGATATACTTCAACAGAAAATTTTACATAAACAATTAAGTAGTAATTCATCAGAACGACAGCCAACAAATGATGGTGCTGATGATGAAAATTCAAATTCATACGAATCTCATTCTGATCATGATTTTAATAATACGAAAGAAAAAAGACTTCATTTTTTAAATAATAAAATTTCTCATCAAGTTCGTCGTGGTATGAGTGTCAATTGGGGTAGTAATTCAACAACAGCTGTTAATCTAACTACATCGAAAAATCAACATTATCGTAGACAATTTAATCACAAACAAGCCTCAAATGTTAAATCATTTGCATATTCACTTTATCGTAGTCCAATACGTTTAAATAATTTATCAACAACAACAACAACAACAACAACAACAAAAATTAAATTTAAACAACCAACAAATTCGACACAACCATCGATTACTCTAACGCCTATACCATCTGAACCTGAACTTTCTTTGTGTCGCATTCATTCTCCACCACAACCACGACCTGAATCATTAGCAACAATGTCAGAAGAACTATTTCATGAACGGTTAAAAGCTCGGCATTCACCATTTTTTCCTACAATCGATCCACCACAACATTCAGAAACAATTATCAATGATCATGTATCAGCTAATTTTCAATCTACTCCATCAATACTTTTAAATAAAACTTCTACAGAAAATATTAATCATTCAGATAGAACCATAACACCGGAAATGCAACGGGAAAATCTTATTGAGATAAATGCAACATCTCTTATTTTTCAATCAGAATTACTAGTTAAACAAATTGCCAGTCATTTCGATGATTCATCTGATGAAAGTTGGCGTTTACTTAATAGCAATAGTAGTCTGGATATTCCTTATATTGATGAAACAGATTTTGAAGATTTAGGTAAGTTCATGTAATAAATAGAATAGCATAGAATCTCACAGAAATAACATCAAAACTAAATATCAAAGGTTGTGTCGTAGTTAGTCTTCCAACAGATAATATATGATTCGAAATACAAGAATAAATCATGAACTTACAAGACTTTGAAAATTTTTTCTAGATTGTAAGATCACATCAGTATATGAGATCTTTAAAAATCAAGTGAAACCTTTGAAAGTCATCATAAAAAAAACATTATTCTATCAAGACAATCAAAAAAATCTATGCTTTCTTATTCTCGATAGAGTTAACCTTGAAATCTTTGACTATAGAAATGAAGAAGTTCATTAAAGAAAAATATTGAATTGGATATTAAGATGTTTTTCATTTCTTTTTGCAAAATCGAACATAATGTTATTTATTTTTCAGTTGATTGACAAAGCAATGAAAATTTCAGAAAGATCTTGAAAAAACTTCTATGCTGTGTCTCGATCAAAATAAGGATAAATAATATAATAAAAAACAAATTCGAGAAAGATCGATGCCAAATTATCTGCGAATGTAACAAATAGTAGCCGATAATTTAAGAGTTATTTGGATGTAGTTTTTTCCGTTGATTTAAACTTATCATAATTTTTCGTTGTAACTCTAACACCATCATTGATAATATAAGATGTTGAAAACATATTTACTATATTATTAGTTTTTTTTAATCTTCTTCTTTGAAAGGTTATATCTTACATCGTCGTTGTGTCCCATCAAATGATACCAATGAACCGGTTTATGAAGAAACTATTGTTTACAAATCTCCACTTTATATTAAACATAGAGATCGATCGAAATCCTCTTTAACATCAATTACCACTAATAATAATGATAATAATAAGGGTAATAAAATTTATGAAATCTATGGCAATCATCAAGATGCGCATAAAGCAATACTTGAATCTCCCGTATTCGATAGCGTAGAATTAATTACGTATGGTTGTACGAATTCAAATCCGTCCTATGAAAATAAACCAATACGACATTGTAGTTTACGTCATGTGCCATGTGATGTTTTACTCAAATCAGGATCCACATCAGAATCATTACCAATATCATCAAATGATAGTAATAAAACATCATCTATAATTTTCGTTTCCAAAACAAAAACACCATTATCTCAAAATTCAGCTTGCCTAAATTTATCACCTTCAACAAGTCGACATGCTGATGTTGAACGTGCACTATTTGATTTTTACCAATGTTGTCAAATAAATGATACTGATGAAAATTTAACACATAGCGAAAGTGATTTATTATCCAATTATAAAGAAGTCAATAAAAAAACTTCGTCATTATTATATCTTAATGAACGATTTTCATCTGCATTTACTGACGATGAATCGAATTGTCCATGTAATAGTGATTTAATGAAAATTATGATGTTAAATAAAACAAATCTTGATACGACAAGTGATGAACAAACACTAACGAATAGTGTTAGTTTAAATACGTATAGTCAAGATTTTTCTGTGGACAAAATTTTTCAACCATTTAATTTAAACGAGCAATTATCTCGAAATAGTTGGATTAGTGCAACATCATCGTCATCGTCGTTATCTCAAGACAGACAAATACCACAGCATCTATTCGCAGCTATCGAATGTAAACGTAATACATCATCGGATTCAGATGCAATTACAACAACAACAACGACATTGACAGCCAGTACATTGTATGGAGGGTAATTGCTATTTTATATTAAAAACAAACCGATAAAATTTTGTGGTTCTTTTTTTTTGTCTTATTTTCAGATCAGATAAACGAAAAACAAGTGAAGATCTGAAACATGTTGGACGTGGCCCAATATTAGTAAAGCATCATTCAGATACATTTCTTAATGAAAATGATTCATCATCATTAAATAATCGAATTGCATCAAAAGTAACATTTGAAAGTTTAGTAACACAAGCGTCTGTTCCATCATCACCAAAAACAAGAGATCAAAGTGTTATGGCACAAATTGATGTACGAAGTCAAATAAATTATTCGACTAATGGGCATGAACTAATTGAAAATGAAACTAAAAGTGCACGACCATCATTAGTCAACGAAGGAACACTTGCAGGAACAACTAGTTTCAATTCAGCAAAATCAAGTATTAAAGAACTGTTACAAAATCAAAAATCAATTCATCGAAGAAAATCAAAATCACAAAATCGAGCTAGAAAAGCATTAAGAACAATTACATTTATTCTTGGTATGTTCAACCACTTTTTGAATTGTTTAATTCGTTCGAGATAAAATTTATCGAGAATAATTTCATATTGAATATAAATTGAATTGTATGTAACAAAGAAAACAAATTTTTATTTTTCTGCTACTGTAGTTAACAACAACATACTATTCGACTTTATTATATCCATCAGTACATATAGTTATTCTACATGAAACAATACTCTGCATTCTCTAATTTTATGATTGACCAGTAATAATACACAGTTAAGCAGTATCAACTAAGTTGTTTTCATTTATTAAAGAGTAATAGTTAACATTGTGTACGAGTCATGTGCCAACTAGAAATCGATAGAGATAATGTATAATCTATTTTGTGAATTTTTAATGTTAAATCAAAGGTGAAATTTAAAAAAACGCGTGATACTACTCAAAAAAAAAATGTTGCGCTTGTGTACGCCATATGATTCGATATGATATATTGAAGAACTCAGCACACAGCATAGCATCTTCTTAATTAGATCGAATGTAAATTAAAACATATACGTGCATTTTATTATCGCATGCGAGCACAGACAAACGTTTTAACAGCGTAGCCGAACATATGCATGCAAGTAATTTCTATAATTAGTAAAACACGAGACACATGCGTAGTAGTCATGCGTGAATATATAATAGTTGTTTTCCGAAATAAAATTTAAACATCACTTATAATATAGACTGCTTTTTACTGAGATTATTTACTGCTAATATTCAATCAAAAATAAATAATATTATGACAGTTCAATATCTATCCATTGGTGCAGGGTGTGGTTGTGTGTGTTTTCGTGTGTATCTAGCGTTGTTGCACACACAGAAAGAGGAATATGTCTCGTGCGTGTGGTATGGTTTGTGTCTGTGTTTACCATTTTGTGTGTGATTCAGTGTATATCTGCTATTTTCTGTATTCGTGTGCATCGACGGATGTCTGCTGTTTGCTGTTCATATCTGTTTTACGGTGCGCACCCTCTCCCTTCGCTATATCATCTACAGCTCTGCTTGTGTGATTTCGCCTACTGGGTGAGGTGGACAGTAATACCGTACGCATGGTTTCCACACTGATTTGTGACCGACGTACCGCATTGGTCCTACCTCTAAAATCAGGAAAATGTTTTTCCGCGTTACTTGACGGGATATGCGGCATCTCTCTGTGGAGAAGTGCGAGAGATGCGGCAGCTGTGCGGGAGAGACAGAATACGCGTGATTGATTTCTTATAGCGATAGTATTTGTATTAGCTGAGGATATTACTGTTGTGTATCTCCCGTGGCATCTCTAGCATGCCCGATTTGTTGAATATGTGACACTGTTGAGTTGAAAGTATAACCAGGCTATTTTTCGCAGCCATTAAAATTGGGCGACAGTACTTTTTTCTATGCTGCATGTGTCGGTCAGTTTTCGTACTGATAAACAGGTCACTTTTGATTGCCTTTGATTCGTATGATTTTTCCTGCAGAGTAAAGGCTCGTCTATTCAGTATAATCATATTTTGCTTTAAATAGTGGTATAAAAAAGATCTACAAATATCACAATGCTATTGTATATATGCCCGTCACGCGTATTCCACACAGAGGATGCGTTCTCTCTCTCTCTCTCACACAAATATGTATTTTTTTTCATTCTACTGTCAGATCATTAAAGAAAAGACACTACTCTGAATGAGTAATGATGATAATCGAGACATTTTCTTTGAATTCGTGGTTAGCGTCCACTATATAGAGGTTATTTATGCAAAAGAGACCGTGAAAAAGAGTCCACTATACGGAAGTGTCCACTATAGAGAAGCGTCCACTATGGGAGGTTCTACTGTATAAACATTTTTTTTTGAAATTCCGTGGTTTACTGGTTAACTGAGTATTATAGAGACATAATTGCATACAGTAAAAATTTTACCGTAATCATTGCATGACATAATCTGACCAGTGACTGATTTTTTAATTGGAAGATTTGATTAAGACGTCGAAGTACAAGTTGACCTTTATCAGTAAAAGAGTAAGCTGACGAAATTTTCTTTCGAATATTTTTAGGTGCTTTTGTTGTTTGTTGGACCCCATGGTAAGCAGTTATTTACGAATATGTCTCATTTCTGTGTATGGATGTTATTTTTTTAAATTTAGGCACATCTATTCAGCAGTTCATTCATTATGCGAATCCTGTAAAAATAATTGGATATTTTCAAACCCGATGTTTCATTGTTTTTATTTTCTTTGCTATCTTAATTCCCCAATCAATCCATTTTGCTATGCACTAGCTAATCAACAATTTAAAAAAACATTTACACGAATATTAAAATTAGATTTACGTCGATTATAATAATAAATGAGGATCTATTTTTTTTTCTTTTTTTGTCCCATGTTACATTTTGGTAAAACTATGCCTCGGTTCTCTCTTTTGTTTGTATGAATTAGGTTGCTGAACAGAAAAGAAAAGGATAGTTTTTTTAAATTCATAAACACTTTCATGAATAGCAAAGTTCTATGGAAAAGTAATCAAATATTTGCAAATAAAAACAGAAAAATTAACATAGACAAATGAACTTTTTTCTCTTATATTAACAGTATTAAATCGGACATGCTAATGAGACGATGTTGAACTATGACTTAGTAAAGTCTAAACGATTCGATGAATGAAGACTGTATTGAATGATCAGACTGAAACCATCTCAACGATGACGATAATTCTCATATAACAACAATTATTTATATTCAAAATTGAGTATCTCATCAAACAAAGACCACTCTCCCTATGAAAGTACATGAATAAAATTTCTACATATATTAAAACCATTCAATGCAAGTTTTGTGAAGAATAATAGCAAGCAATGTTTTGAGTAGACATGAAATACTTTTCAAATCCTTCAAAATTTATTTGAATAAAGTTAAACTCTTTTTAAGGCTTTAACAGGACACGGTAATTTTGAAATATACCAATTACTGTGTGATTGTGTTTGCTTTGCTTTTTTAAATTAAAGACATGGAAAATTTACATAAATATGCACTATTTTACTATTCAAAAATCTAAGATTCGAAGATTTAATGAATCTCATCGATTAGTATACAAATGTTCTGGTTAAATAGAGTTTTAACAGTGATATTCAAGCCATCTTAAATTCTAATCATACAGTAACAGATTTTCAGTCATCATAAACATTCCCCGAAAAATTGATCAATACTAAATAAAATCAGCATTTTTCTGCCTAGAGCTTTTACTACGAATGAAAGACTATACAAACACTATAGTGCAATACTTGATTAAATCATTCAATCAGTACCATTGATAAATTTCGTAAATGATCTTGAATTTTTCATGAATCAGTGGCTACTAGCTACTGGCTAGAGCTCATTCGACTAGTACGTCTCGATCATTCTATGAAAACTCATGTGACTCTGTTAATGACATACGAAAATCAATTTACCAGAAAAAGTAGAAAATAATTAGTATGATACACAACAATTCGATCAACAACAGAAAAAAATAATGATTAGTTTTATTTTTTTGATGGTGTGAAACATTTTTTATTAGTGAAATGGAACAAAGAGGAGACAATTTTTGACTTCGACGAATCGTCTCTAACACACTAAATGAACTGTCACAAGAGTATGAATTAGCTAAAATATTATTACATTGAATCATTGAAAAACATTGTTTAAAAGCATTCAAAATAATATTAGCTACTGCTTCATTTTCCTAACTGATGAATATACTATCAATACGGTATACATTAATGCTTGATCACGATGGTAATTGAATACAAGAATATTGCATCACTTGATATTTGTTTTCATTCAAAAATATTTATCTATAATATCGGAAAAATTGATAGAATAGACAATGATCCTGTTCATACATTGTCTACGACATAGTAAAAGTTAAACATCTGAAATTTCATACATTTATTTAATATTCAATGGTTACAGCAATCTACTAAAGTGACAACGACTTTCCTTTGGTTGTATCTAAGAATATTGGATTTCAACATGGCACCAATGGCATACTTTCTCAATTTAGATTTGCTCATAGAACAAGAATGTTTTAAATTTGCCTCTTTTTTTTGGAAAGAAAAGGAGCAGTATTTTTGAATGTCACTTAGTTAACAACTAGATAAGAGCCAAGATCAGTATTTGATTACCTTTTAATATCAATACAGAATAATTTATCAGCTATTTAAGGATCTATGCTTATTGAAGATGTAATGTCAAATTTCTCGACACCATAAGAATGTATTCTATTACATAGCTAATGTTTCATACATGTGGAAGAGAAAAAAATGAAAAAAGTAGTAACAAAATTCCTTATTAGATGATATTCGTCATACTCAAATTATTCCTTGTTCTACTTTATAAGTTATATTGCAATGATTCATATAAGTATTAATTGTAAGAATGCCAACGATATCTATCTAACATGAAATTTGAAAACTTTTCTTCAAAACAATCTCTCACATCTTTGCTTTTGTTTGTACATGACAGCATTTATTTCTATCATTGACCGATTTTTAGTATTCAGTGTACATTAATATATCTCAATGAAATCGAACTGATGATTCACATAGAAAACGACATCACCTCTATGTTCTATCCGTGGCGTTTTTTTCACTGTCAACTACAGGAATTAGTTAAGCACATCTTGAATCACATTAAGAGGCAAATCATATGAAGTAAACATGATATATATTATCATGTTAACTCAGAAAACAACATTTTCTGATGTATACGCAATTCTTTTTTGAATAAATACATTCCATTTAGTAGACTTTCTGATCAAATATTAGTCTATTTTAATTTTACAAAAAGTATTTGAATGAAAATGGTAGAATTATGTAACAGTTGTCCAAAAGAGATAATGAAAAATGGGAACTCGAAAAACAGATTATTGAGCAAAGAATACCTACTTTTTTCTTCTTTCAAATATTATAACTTTCTACCCATCTAATTCACAAAGTCTCTACTGTTGGAGTTTTTGTTTTGTTTTATTTGAATTGTTTTCAAATTACAAGAACATGTATAATATTATACATACACGAAAACCGCGAATTGGACTGAAAAAACGTGAAAATATGTATCAGACTAGAAGAACAAAATAAGTTAATTTATCATTTTAAAAAAAAATAGGCCGTTGCAATTTGAATTGTGATAGACTTTTTTGTTTTGATGATGAAACCGGAGGTTGCCACCATCCACTTGATAGTGGTTGATTATCTTCTAAATAAATAAGAGATTTTTGTTGTTTTAAGCGTCTTTGACATTCATGATATTGAAAATCGTTTAATGATATTATTGTTAGAATTTTTTCTTCATAATAACCATCAATTGGTATTAATGTTAAATTATTTGTTGAGAATAAACTTATGCTATAATCATTTTGTTCATCGGTTGATAAATAATCATATAATGTTATCAAACGTAAATATTCTAATTCATATTTATTTGCCATACAAAAAGTAGATACTGATGAAAAATTCATAGAATTTATTTGTGGAATATATTTTCGTTTATTTATATAAATAAATGGGATATGTTGTTTTTCACTGTTATTCAATGTTAATAGACCACCATTAAATGACACAACTTGATTATAATCAATATAATCAACATTAGTTGGTGATGAGATGAAACGAATAAAAAACAATCGTTTTAAACGAAATATTAAGTGATCAAGTGTAATTAGCCATGAATGGTTTGTTAATGTAAAATTCGATGATGATGATTGTTGAATTAAACTATTAAATGTATGAATATCATCATTATTTACTGGAATATATAATGAACGTAAAGAAAAGTCTTCTGATGAAGTGATTATATGTTCTTTCAAAAGATATTCGACTGGAAGTAAACGATCGCAGTGGTTTTTTATAAATGGTACTATTTTAGAATCTAATTGAATCCAACCAGTTGATGAAGAACGATCGAATTGGAAAGATGATTCAGTAGTAGTAGTAGTCGAAGAAGCAGAAGAAGGAGAAGAAGAAGCAGGAAGAAGAGTAGTTGTAGTATTCAATACTAGAATTAAATAGAAAACTATATAGTTGTTGAATATATTAAGATATTTACACTATTCTATTTAACGTATTATCTCCTACAGTTGCAGAATGTCTATCAGGCAGAATTCAGAATTTCTGTGATGTTTTGAAGAAGTCCATACTTAAAGAATACAACGCTTGTGAGTTCTTAAAATGTTGAATATTACTTGTTAGGTATTCTGCAGGCCCTCGTTCTTTTATTCGAAAGTGGTTTAGAGAACTGAAAAGCATTTTATTTTGTAGAAAATTGTTTGTTACATGATTCCAAGCAATACAGGCGATAATATAATAATGAAGGAAATTCTATTCAAATTTTTCAAGTACTCTATCTTTGAAAAGCTATTTATGAGTTTAATGCACAAAAATTCATATTTTACATAAAATTCTCTAACAATATATCACTTTTTGCATCCTCTTTAGCATTCACAGTAGCAGGAAAAAATTAAAGTAAACCTGATTCAATAATTTCGGATGTCATTACAGACATATAATATTCTTATTCGTTTTTACTCTTAATTTGAAGAGCGTGCGAAATAATTGAAATGTAGAATTTGTGTCTTTTAAAATACATTAGACAAGCATCGTTAGTGTATTACTTAAGCAACATAATTTAGTTACTATACAAAGGAAATCATTTTCGAAGGATCATCTAACATTTATTTTTGATGAAAAGCCTTTAAACTTGATTATTTTCGATCTACTAAGTAACTGTAAAAACATGAAAACTTAATTCAAAACGAAAAGTAGATTGAAAGTTCATTGCAATTAGTAGAGATTGAAAATAATATTTTCTAAAGTTGGGAGTTCAAATTAACCTTACAGACTTTAAAATTCAATTTTGTCAGAAAAATAAGAATTTTATCAGTTCGTTAAGATCGAAATTTGCTCGTATTTGTTTTGCTTAATCAATTCGAATTCATGAAGTTTACTACTCTCGTAAGAGAAATTTCTCTTAATGAATATTTTTTCTTAATATATCAATGATTAAATTATTCTAAAAGTACTACCAATGCTTTCAATTTTATTGTTCTCGGAATAGACCTCTATGAGATAGTTAAATTTTATAACATTATTAATGTATAGAAACGTAATTGTTCGCCTATTTTAATGCAATCTGATAGAAGAAAACATCTAGTACAAACAACTCCAATTCATTTACCAAAATTGTCCATAACAATCAAGTGTTTCGATAGTCATCGAAGCAAAATTAGGCGAATTACTTCCAGGACAAATATTTTAAGTTTACGTTCGCTATCAGATCAATCATTAGCTCTATTCTTTACAGACTAGAATTTAAATCATTATCTCCATAATCCAATTTGAAAATTATTGAATTAATCTATAAGAGATATTTTGGTAAACACTTTTTTCGAAAAAAGTAATCTTACAGCAACACCATCTACCATAACGGGAAATAATTTTCTACCGGATATTTTCATGAGACCAACAAAACTATAAGAAGTATTGTTCGAATAATAATCGTTCTCAAAACTCAAGTACATCAATATTATTATATTTACACCCGGAAATATGCATTGTACTCACTGAGGATCTAATCAAAATAACGCTATGATGTTAAGCTCTAGGCATGTTTAATATTCATGCGTGAAGACCAAATAAAATGGCAATGATATTTTCCTTTTAGAATCTATCGAGCGTTTCTATTTTCGATTCTATGAACAAAAAATAAAATTTCTGATTTTGATCGATAAATAATTCATTTATTAGTAGTATCGAGACTATCGGAAATTCCACTAAGATCAATACATATTGTGAAATGATAAAGAAACAAATCATCGACTGATAAGATTTTTAAGGATAAAGCATTCAAGCGACATGAATATCTTGAAATGTCAAAGAAATATATTTTATCGGTATTGACAAAAGCAAAATAGATTCTATCCATGTCATCCTTCAAAAAAAAATTCATTGGCAGTTAAATGAATGATTTTTGACACAAAATACATCGATAGACGCAATCTAATTTCTTGACTACCCCTGTCTTCAGATTTTTCATTATTCGAGTGTTTTTCCGCTTAATATTAGATAAAAAACAAAAAAAAAGACCATGATCGTTGATGAAACGTTGGCGTAAATATATCGATGTTGATAAGCAACTTTCAGAATCTCCTATGAACTATAATAAAATCTTGATAAATATCACAAAACAAAATTAAACTTATAGAATAGAGATCATATCTTTTATATCCCTAGCTCTATTCCATCTAAATATATATATAAGAATGTTGAGAGATCATACTTAATATAGTAGCTTCTTATCTTGAAAATGCTCATAGAAACGATTAGTATCTATTATCTCATTAGTATCACAATAAATGAAAAACATACAGCATGGAAGAGAAATTCTTTAGTAGATTAAATTAAGGGATCCTCTCGATTGGCCCCCCCTTCCCAATTATCTCAACTAGTCCCCGATTAATTGGCTCCCAATTAGCCCGTCCCTGTCCAGAAACATTAAAAACAAATATATGAATAATAGTCATCAATAAGAAAATTGATTACTGCGTAGAGCACTCTGTATATATATATATATGCTGTGCTTTCTTAGTAGTGTATTAGTTTCACTACTGACATTCTGTATGCTCTGAGAAATGCTGCTATTCACATCTTCGGAACGCGGTCAACTTATACTAAATTACAATTCTCACCAATACACAAAGAAGCGTGTACGAAAGACGAGCAACGAGTACCATTATCGAGATCGTGGTTTTACTAGCACGCTTTCTCTTTGTACAGTCGATGCAAAAGTTCTTCGCGAGCCCTCTACTCATACTTGTCAACAATCAGCGTCTTCCGGCAAATCTCTAGTCGACGAAGCAGTTGGTAATATGAAAAAATGTGCACCAGTGGAGACCACGCCGATCCCCAAAATCTATACACAAGAAATCGTTAAAGCTCGTATCAGTCATCTCGGTATAGCAACTGGTCTATTCTTTCCTACATTTGAGAATGTTGATGCTTCACTGTATCGAAGTCGATCGAAGAACTATCCATCGTTACCGAAGCCATTGGCCGATCTCGTTCTTCCAGACGTTTGGCGACTTGCCAAGCACGGAGAACCACGTTGAGGGCCTTAATCGACGATTCAAATATCAGTTCCCTGTGCATCCGCATATCTTCAACTTTATCGAATTATTGTGTGAAAAGCACGAATACCAGCATCACAAGTTCGAAAAGGTGTGCGCTCAATTGCGTAAACGAAAGAAGGCGAACGATGCTATTGACGAGAATCTCGAGCTCCCTCCTAATGACCGCAAGGGTTGATTGACCACTGATATGCAACTCGCGATTAAATGCGGACACGTTTTGAAGACAAAACTTGTTAAATGATTTTTGTTTTTTTCTTGTTCCTTATATTACTCTTGAATAAAATAGCTGATTGATGAAAATCTTGTGTTTATGAAATTAGTCACCAATTAGTAGCCATTGAATTGGGGGACGAGTCGAGAGTAACCCTTAAATTAATTATGTCTAATTATTTTCGTGTGGTAACATATAATATTCTTATGCAAATAGAGCTCATAAAATCTGATTCTTTTGCTTCAAGACAATAAAGACTTCATTTCATCCAATGAGGAAGTTTTTGTGAATTTAAGAAACAGACAAGACAAGAAAAATGAAATTATTTTTTAATGGATAACCTCAAGACAGAATCTATTGAGTTTATTCTTCATTTTGATTGAGTAGATTTTTCTAAATGTTCAATTACTAATAAAAAGAAAGTTAAACTCAACGGATACAAATATAGATCAATGATACCAGCTTGTATCTTACTAGGTGTTTTTGTTCTTTTCCGTTTGAGCCGTTTATCTATACTCTGGTTCGGAGTATTTTCTATAATATTCTCTTGTAAATTTTTCCACATTTCAATATTTTTTCTCGCTGCATCTAATGTTGTAACTGGTTGTAAAATAAATGATTTCGTGTCATTATTATTATTATTGTTGTCGCCTAATGATATTGAATTATAACAACCAATTAAATCTTCAAAATCTATCAAGTAATCAATATTATCTCGTAGTTTAACATAATTATTTGAATAATTTAAATGCCAAGAAAATATTTCATGCATCAACTGTACTTCGTTTGATGTTATATAAATTGGCGATAAAGAATTTGAAATAACTTCTAGCAAACAACGACGCCATTTACTTCGTATTGACGAGGATTTTAAATCGAATAATTGTTGTTCAAAATGTCGCTGAACAAAATAACGACGATCTGAACTATAACAATAATAAGAAGAAAGAAGCGTTTATTTTTCCAAATTAATCTCAAAAGCTAAGAAAACGAAAGCAATCACACACCGAAATATCACTGCAATAAAAAAGTGTTCATCTAGTTCTTCCCATATGAATTGTTTCAAACGACTGGATTCATCGTCAATCGTAACCTTTGACATTCTAAAAGCAATACTCAAGTATGATATCAACTGTCACTAATGCATAATAGAATATACAAGTTGTTATACATAGATCGAAGAAAAAAGATACAATCCTGAGTACACTTAGGAAATACAAGCACCACACAATGTCAGGAAAAACAAAGAATGAAATCTTTTTTTTTTATTTCGGACGGTTTGTTGCAAAAATTGTTTTTGTTGTACTTGAATATGTTGCTGTCGTTGTTGCTTTTGATTGTATATAATCATTATAATGTAATGTTAATTTTTCACTTCTATATCGCGTCACTTGTATGCTTTTTCTCATTTCAGATGTTATTGGTGCCTTATATCCACCTTTACGTAATAATGAATCTACAGTTTGAATATGATTCCAACCTTGATCATGAGCAACTTCAGGTAAATATGTTGCTGAGCGTTTTGAGCCACGTTCATTGAAAAATTCAATACGTATACCATGAAGACCAATATTCCAATCGGAATAAGATGAACATGGTTCAAAATGTGTTAGAATTGACACGGCACATGATAATGATGGATATTCGTCACGCGATATTGGAGAAAAACGACTATCGTTCATTGCCGATGTAATTGCGTATTCACGAAGACCTGCAAAAACAAATAATAAAACATTGAAAGATTCGTTTCATATATTTTTATTGTCTTCTAATAGCATTTTTTCCCCTCAATATATTGCTGTAAATTCGTAGAACCTTAATAAATGAATGAATGGAAACTTTAATAAGGTAATGGTTAAGTATGAACTATTTTCTACTTTTATTTAAGTTAGATAGTGTCTCAACGGATTTAGCGTTAAAAACTATTGTTCATTTGATTTGAAGTTTTTCAGAATCAACTAAAATTTTTTATTCATTATGGCTCGTTACATTAAAAACCGAAAAAAGAATTCTTTGCTAAATATAAATATAAAAGATATGCGGAAGTGTTCATCCAAAACATAGAACGCAATAGATGTCTGCTAAAGTTAAACTAAATCGAATAGCCTTTCTTTTTTCGAACAGAAAAACTATACGAATTGTGTATGCTTCGAGTTAAATGTTTGAATTAAAAGAGGAAACCTATAAATTTTCGATTCACTACATCAATTGTTTCTTCTTTAGAGTTTCAAAAGCAAAAGGGTACAGTTTTCTTCTAAATTCTTATTTGCATTCTAGATGCTTAACTATCGATATGGACTTCTTTTGCTTTCAAATACTTGAATGACACTTGACAAACTGAAGTTATTAGTATGCTTTGTTTTTGACATAAGATCGTTTGTAGCTCATCAAATACTTTGATAGCAAGTCAAACAATAGAATTGGTACTACTTTTCTGTTTCTATGATCACTAAAGTGTCACGCAAATACTTTGCATAGTAATAGTAAAACATGTCAATAAAGAAAACATTTGGAAGAAATGTGACAGGAAGCCTTGTATTTTGTGCTTAGAAAACTCAGAATCGGTCAGTTTTTATGAGCTTTAACTATATGACCAAAACTTATAAATCTTCTTAATGGCAAAAATTAAGTTTATTTAATGTATTAATTTTTATCCATAATGAACTTTACGGATGTCCTATATAGTTGAAAATTAATTATAACAGACTTTAATTCGAAAATGTCGCCGAATATACTTTTCAAATTAGTCTCTTATTACATTCGTGAAAGATTGCATAAAATATTGATGAAGAAGTAAAGTCTGAAAAAGATACATACAGTAGAACAGTCGCTCTGTGATTAGTAAGAGAAGCTACACCATATGTCACATTTTAATGTTACGGGGATTGTGCTTACACTTCTATTAATAGGTCAGTATAAGAATCAGTGATTATCTAGTATATATATATATATATATATATAGTATATACGTATGATGAAAAATGAGAAAATCTAATCATTTATTTTATTATTAATACAACCTAAATAAATTTACCTTGTGCAAGATTCATTGGTGAAAATGTTCCAATACATCCTCGTAATTGTTTTTCTATTCCAATTAACCATGTAACAAATAGTGGATAGGGTTCAGATGGAACTGTAGGAGGAGCAATAGGTGATGGAATTAATTGGCTATTTGCACTTGATGAAGAAGAATGATATTTTCCTGAATGATGTTTTCCATTAAATAAGTAATTGCCTAAGATTTCAAAGCAATAAAAGATCATATCAGCATTAACAATTGAGATTTTTTGTTGAGCTGATGATAATTGATCTAGATTCCGCTTAACTTTACGTTGTTGTTTTGAACTATCATCTGTTGTTAATTGATAATCTTCGTCATCGTCATCATCATCATCGCCATCATCAGAAATATCCATTTTATCATTTTTTTTTGAATTTTTATGGTAATAATTATTGTTTACTGTATTGTTTGATGACGATGCTGTTGATTGTGGTGTACCATGTGAATAGGAAAATGTAGATGACGATGCAGAATTGGAAGATGCACGCGAAAGATCGTGAGGCATCTTAGAATCGTTTTGATGATGATTTGTTTGGATATCAGAATGGTTATGGTTGTTCAAGCTTGGTTGATGATCTTGATTATTATGTTTGTTTGAAGAAAAGTGTTTCGATATCGTTTGTGATACTTTCAATTTTTTACCACCAAAACATATTGCCATAAAAGGACCAGACAACAACGATCACCGGATTAGCAAATGCTAAATTATATTAACAACACAAACCGATATAAAAAAAAATAATTTCTCTGGAGAAAAGAGATATGTGTACTTACGGGAATAGATCTGAAATACACGTTATATGTAATTCATGATCGTATGAGGACGTATATGAAGGGAAAGCAGGCAAAAAACGTACAACGACGCTACTAGTCGCTACAAAGAAAACATGTCGACACCTTTTTTCGTTCTAAGAAAATGACTCACTCGAACGATATAGTCAGTACTTCTAATATTTCCGACGTACTTGTTGACACAATAGAAATACCGTTGTAATGTGTTTGTTTTTGATGTAAAATAAATGTGTGCTATTAAATCTAGAAAAGAGAAAACAAAAACGTTTACTCATCCTTCCGTTCTGTTTTCTTTTTCTTTCGTGGGTTGGCTATCATAACGAAACATTTTTATTTCAACTGACAAAAAAAACAGCAACAACAAATGAATCATTACTGATTACGTGAACTTTTTTTATTGTGCTACGCCGACTTGTGCAGCACGTATGACACGATCTTGGAGGCGATAACCAGTTTTCATGACTTGTATAATTGTTCCACTCGTTTTTTCTGGAATTTTAGCTTGAAACAACGCATCGTGAAAGTTTGGATCGAATTTATCACCTTCATTAGGCTTTATTTGTATGAGCCCATTTTTTGCAAATATTTTTTGCATTCTTTCTTCAGTCATTACAAGGCCTTGATGAAGATTAGTAAAATCTTTTGCTAATGTTCTTATATCTGTTGAAACTTCTTTAGGAGTATTGACTAATGCTAGATTAAGTATATCAGCAACTTCAAGTAAGTCTTTACAAAAGCCTTGTATACCAAATACTTTTGCGTCATTCACGAGTTTAGTGAAACGTGCTCGCGTATTTTCCGTTTCAGCTAATGCACGTCTGTAACGATCCTAAAAAAGAGAAAAGAAAAATTAAGCAACAATTCCAGGATAAACGAATCAAATAGAAGGCAAATGTTTGAAATGCGTTATTAACAAACGTAAAACCCTCATATGTAAATGAAAAGATCAATTCGTGTAAAAAAAGAAGAATGTTTATTCATATCCAGACGTATTTCTTTATTAAAATTATTAATTAAGAATTAGTTTCGGCAAGAATCGTTGTTTTTTTTGTGGTGACTTGTCTATATTACTGTAACAAAATTTGATCATCAAGAAAATTAGAACTATTGAATTCATCATAATCGGCTACTGATGTCGATTCTATATCTGTCCGATGTTAGAGTTACGTGTTTTGATCAACAGAAATCTTGATCGATATTATCTACATCAAACACACTTACAGCTCAATTAAAAAATATGATTGAGGTGAATTATAAATAGGCACATATTTGAACCACTAGTGTAATAATGACTATGCATCTTTTAACTTATTATTAAAACTGTGATAAATATCATCGAATGTTTGACCATCGAAAATAGACTGAGAAGAAACGCTACTTCAAAAGTCACTAACTCATATATATAGAAAAAATTTATACAATTAATCGGAAAAAAAACCATTATCAATATTCGATTTGATCTTAAAACAAAGATCGTAATTCATATAGTTTTGCAAAGCAAAAGTGTAGCATTTGTCATCACATAGATAAATGAACTTAAAAGAATATCATCCTAATTCTAGTCTAACATTCAATTGAGAGGCGAAACATTTAGATTTAGAAGTTTTAACTTTATATTTTATGCTGAAGCTTTTGCTACATATTTGTTATGAGACTCATAATCAAGCTGATAACTGTAAGTAAGACCCATACCAATTAAATTGTATCTGTTTTTTTTTTATAAAAACTAGTTTCAATGATTTCGACAACGAATAATCCAAAATTCTAACAAAATGTCAAGGATACTTCAGCTCGCCTCACTTTTTTGCAAAACAATAGGTCAATTTTAGAAAGGGTTTGTATACCATACGAAGTTCCTAACTACTGAAAAACAAATTAATAATACATTTATAGTCTTCAATCAAAAAAAACATTTCATCCAAATGTCATTATCTTTACTCATAATAATGACGTTGATTTTCAGTCTAATATCAATGAAATATATAGGAATACTAGCTTATGTTTCAGTAAAACTTGCTACGCAAGATTGCACTTATTCCTTAAAGATATAAGATTTTAATTATTTATAATTTTCATTTTACCATCTTTTTAGTAGTTTTACCTTGAATTCATTAACGTCTTCATTTAATTTTGTATTTTGTTCAAGAAGTTGCTTTAAGTCTACATCGGATTTTTGTTCAGTTTGAGATTTATTTTCTGTTGTTTCATTCGATGAGGATGGTGATGCTGCTTCGCTTTGTTTTTGTTCCTGCGAGGCTGTATTTGTAGACGAATATCTAAACTAACACATATAGATTAAATATAACATCAATCAAATATATATCACTAGCTAAACAGCTACCTAAATACTGATGAGAAACGCGAAACATTTATAAGTGTTGATCCACAAAATAGGCTCGTACGACAACGCGCTTGCCGTACAAATAAACAATTAGAGAGCAGACTCATTTATTCAATGAAAAATGAATATAAAGCTAAAAAGAAATATCTAAAAATAAAAAATATCTTACATCAGCAAAAGTTCGTTTTTTTAAAATCAACAACAAAACAAAAACAACACCAGATGATCAATGGTAAAATATGGACGCCCTTACATGGTTATACATTATGCGAAAGATGGCATTAATTGACTATGCAAATAAAAAAACAAATCGGATTTGTTTTGCTTATTGATATTGTGAAGATCATACTGCGCATAGAAACATGTCGATTTCTATTCCTTGAAAAAGTTTTGGATCTTGGTATTTGCGAAATTCAGAATCAAAAGCTTCTGTCGTCGAACGTAACAGTTTGTGTTCGAAGTCATTTTGGCTTTGTATGTAAAAAGTATTTTTATTCTGTAAATTTTTCAAACTTGAATAGAAGAATTCATCGAAGACATCTATGAAAAGCATCAGTAATCGCTTGAGTCGTGTCGACATGATTAGTCGTTCAATTCTTTTTCTGTTTTCCCTCTTACCATTTTCTTCACAATCGTTTATAGTTATTTTGATAGTTGATGCAAAATAATGAAAAATCAAATAAGACCACGTTCTCTACTACTCAATTTCGATATATTTGTACAGATATGTCCTTAGAAGTGATCCACAGAAGAATTTATTCTTTGATAACATTTGACAGTATGCTATTTATCAAAGACTTACATTTTACACGCACAGATGAGTTGCTACATATATGTCTTATGCTTTAATCTATACAGTGATCTTTTTGTGCCAAAAAAGAACACGTAAAAGAGAAAAACTGTAAAAGACTCTGATGTTAAATGTATGAAAGAAACACAAAAGCGTTAGCTTTTCTTTTTTATTTTTGATTAGCCAAATTTATTTCCTTATCTTGCTTTTTATCAAATGCGTTCTCTCATGCAAATATGAGCTTACATAAATATAAAGCTTTATACTTATCAACTCATTTGGCTACTTTAATCACTAGTCTTCAGTACTCTGGACGATGTTGTCAACAACAACAACAACAAGAAAAAGACTTCAATAAGACATAAACACGATAAGATTGTTAAAATAGTGAGGAAATAAAACCGAAGAAAAACGGTAATCGAGCAGTGCACATGAGAGTAATGTTATTTTTTTCTTTCTTATGCTCGTTCGCTCACTTTTCTTCTATGTGTATCTGTCTTTCTACCGGTCGTTAGACCGTTAATTGTTTCACATCGCTCAATTTTACTGCAGTCAGTCAGCTACTATAAACATTATTTTCTTGTCGTATTTACTACAATAACTATTACTATTCTCTTCCGTTGATTTACTGCATTTCTCAATATTTTCCGATAACAGTTAAAAAAACGTAGAAAAAAAAGAAACGTCTGCAGGGAAAATCTTCTAGAAAAAATTATTATACACTTACTTCTCATTATTAGAAATACCAATGACGTACAAAAGTTACTTGCGATCGAAATGTGTATTTTTCTTAACATATTTATTCAAGAAATTTACATTTCATGTAATACTTTAGTTCTTATTATTATCACCGATTCCTTTTTGAATATCAATGAAAAGAAACAATATCGAATTGTGAGATCTAATAATTATTCTTTTTTCGAGTTATTCATGGGAACCAAAGGTTGGTTCGAGCTTGTTTTTTACTTTCTTAAAATTTTATATATCTATTCGATTATTTACTGTTAGTATCATCATTTTCCATTTAGTGTCATCTATGCCACCTACACCTGATGATAATGATCCATTTACTTCTTTAAGACGGAGCAATTTTTCTGATGAAGAATATGAAAATTGTTTTAAATATTTTGATTTCCAAAAGTAACATACATTAGAACTTAAATATGAATTTAAATCAAAATATTTCTTTTTTTTTCTAGACAAGGTTTTTGGAATCGTGAAGATTTTCGTCGTTTTCTCAACGTACTCTTTTCTAATAAAAAAAGACCCTATTTAATGTCAAATGAAAGTATTGATGAATATTTTCATGAAACTGACTTTAATCGCAATCAAAAAATTGAACTTGATGAATTTCTACAAGCATGGAAAAGGACGATTAAATACGTAAATAGATCACATGTCTCATTGATCTCTTATATTTTTGTTTTCGTAGACTGTAAGACCTATTAGCGCACTTGTTATAGTCGATGTTCAAAATGATTTTATTTCTGGATCGCTAGCTCTTCATTCCTGTCCTGCTAATCACCAAGGTTCATTTATATCAAAATTATCTTTTTTCTTTTAAAAAAACCAAACCTATGATAATCTCTTTTATTTAGGTGAAGAAGTTGTTCCTATTATTAATCAAGTTATTCGTAATGTTAATTTTGATGTCGTAGCATACACATATGATTGGCATCCATTAAATCATATATCATTCTATGAAAATCGTCATATGAGAAAAACGTCATCTGACAGTTGTGTATGTAAAAATAAAGACTAAAAGCTAATATGATTAACCTTTTTTTTAAAATTTGCTATTCAGATTAGTGCTGAAAAGGCACATCCACTTGATACAGTTGTTTTTGTTGGAGCTCCTAATTTAGCTCCTAAAATAGAGCAAGTACTTTGGCCAGCTCACTGTATCCAAAAGACGCCGGGTGCGGACCTACATCCAGATTTAATACGCGTTGATAATGCTATACACGTTTATAAAGGAACAAATCCAGAAATCGATTCTTATTCAGCATTCTGGGATAATATGAAATTAAGTAAAACAAGTCTTGATGCTCAGCTCAAGGAACGCTCTGTTACTGATGTTTATGTTGTTGGATTGGCTACAGATGTTTGTGTTTGTATGTTGCATTTTTTTCTAGTCAAAAAACTAAATATTCACGTTTTTTAATGCTATTTTTAATTTTAGCCTCTACAGCAATGCATGCTGTTGAACATAATTATCGAACTGTATTAATTGAAGATGCATGTCGAGGTGTCAATGAACATGTAATTGAACTTAAACGAGGTGAACTTAATAAAACTGGATGTATTTTTGTTCATTCTGATGCTGTAGGGAACATATTTTCTTCTCTATTTTCACGTTTTGTTTTATTATTCAATTAATAATTAAGGTACCTGCAATGGTAGCTGGCGAAGATCGGCGACCTGAGATAGCACGTGTTATATTTGTTGAAAACCTTAAAGCAATTGGTCGTTATCATCCTCGCTAAAAGTACTCAACAAAAAAAAGACAATATACAAGTGCCTCTCATTCTTTCTTAGCTTTCTTTTCTTTTTTTCCGTCTTCTTCCCTGATTGTATGCACATCTCGGGTAGCTAATGCCAACGCAGCTATTGATTCCTCTCTTTTGGAGTTTTATTTTGCTCGCAATAAATACGCAATTGTCGTTGGTTGTACACTTCACGTGCACGCGCACTCCCTCTCTCTCTCTCTCTCTCTCTCTCTTTCTCCCTTTCTAACTTCTTTCTTGCAACTACGTACACGTATATACACACCTGTCCCGTTAAGAAAAGTAAAGCAAAACGAATAATGGAGAATTTTTTACATTTTCGATCCGAATTTAACATGGTGGCGTCTGTCATTTTTTCATTGTGCACACAAATTTGTGTATGTTCTTTTTTTTTGTTCTTATTTCAAAAATAAAATTATAAACATTATAATATGATAAATCATCTAACGAAATTCAAGTAATTGACATTTGACAGAAGTTAAAAGTATATATGTTTAACTGAAATATGATTCTCTAGAGCTTTTGCTTTTTTGTCTTCTTTTCATCGAAAATATGCTAAATGCATGATAGAATGAGAAATTAGCAAAGGCATTGTTCTACTTTCATTGCTATATTCAGAACTGTCTTGAATTACATTAACTGAAAGGCTAAAGAAATATTTTGAAATAGAGCCTATAAAAAGGTAACTAAAGTAAATAGAAAACGAATTGCTGCTACAGCTCTTGTTAGAAAGAAAGAATGAAGTTTGAACTAAAAACATTATTGATTATGATTCATATTAGATATTGCTTTCTTCACATCATGTTGTTGGTGGGTGTGTTCGCACATCGTCTTTTTGCGTCGTTGAGAGAGTTCAAGCAATTTTTGTTGTTGTTGTTGTTGTTACTGCTGTTTCTGCTTGATCAATGATTTAAAATTGACAAAAGAAAAATTTAACGAAAGCAGAACTACACTACAGTAAAAGTGTTTTTTTCATGTTTTGCGATAATATAAAAACAAATGTGTGTCCATAAACGGGTCGTTTTATGTTGCATTTTGATTTTCATTGCAAAGTAAAAAATACAAACAAAAAAGAAAAAACTATTCATATTGCATTATCAGGATCTTCATCATCTGATTAATTTCGTCCAAATATGAATTGGTAATTAGAATAAACTTTATTCTATCGTCTTCTAAAAATATTAATAAGAATTCTCTGTGCGATGATTAGATCAGAATGAGTGTCTACTACGTAGCTGCTATTAATATGTTGACGATATATTTACTTTAATCGATATTACGCTTTACTATATTTTACAGTATTTGAGAAGAAAAGTTTTTGTTATTCTGCTCAATTTCAGTGTGAAGCTTCACAATTCTCTTTCTCTTCCTAAGAGAAATAGTATTCTTTAAATAACTTATATATATATATATTTTTTTCTTTCTTATTCATGCCTTTCTTTTTTTTTCATTTTGATAAAATAGTCTAACGAATAAAAATTCATCAGTTCCGACATCAAAAACAACAAACATGCCAATAACTCGTGCTGTTGAACGTAATTCATTATCATTACCGAGTAGTCCACAAAAATCTTATAATATATCATCTCATCTTTCAACACAATACGAAGATGCTGACTCAATGGAGGAAAAAAGGCCTTCGAAAAGAACATCAGATTCACCTAGAAAAAATAGTGGATCAGTCCAAAAAAACGCAACTTCTGCGTCAACGGCTGCTCAACCATCTCGGCGCCAATTTAATCATGATGCACTTCCGCCTACGAGAGGACGATCCAATACTGATGTTCAATCCACTATGTCTGCATCGAACAATATTAAACAGCAACAAGCAAATATCGGCGGATCTGGTAGTGATAAAACTGTGAACCATAATTATCACTCTCATCCTCCAACAGGAGTTCCATCGAAACTTAAATGTATGTTACCAACAACAGCCTGTCAACCAGGTTATGTTACACCATCAAAATTATTTAATATGATGGGTTATGGATTAGAAAATCAATATTTATTTATGTTGGCTCATTATTTGTATATTATTGATTGCCGATCGAGAGAAAAATTTAATGAGAGTCATATTATCACAGGTAAGTCGCTTGTTCCTATTTCGTACCTGAAAGAAAATGACAACTTGACCTAATTAAACCAAACAAATGCAATAGGTCAACGATAATAAAAAGAAATCTCCTTGTTTTTCTTTTTACAATAAGCATTAATTTCCTTGTTTTTCCATGATCTGCTAATTTTAATTTTAATTATGTCATTTGGACTAGTAAAGGCATCTTCATGGCTTTATTCTCACGAGTGATTTCTAGTTTTCTATTGTTTCTTATCAATTATTGACGCACAGTCATGTTATGCTAAAAAGGATAGGCATTCTTTTTCATTCTGTCTTTTTCTATTGTAGCAATAGATTGAATCAAATTTAAAAAAATACAGAAATAATAGTAGTTTTTTTTTCATTGGCATAAATCAACTATCGCTTGCGTCACATATTTTATTAAAGAGGAAAATAGAATTTGCTGTAGTGAACAATGACCTATTCTGGCATGCTTGTTTGTTTAACTATCCTGAAATAAATTTTGTTTTCGATACCAACAAAATAAACCGGTTTTTAAATTTCCGATCGAAGACAACTACTACTGTGAAAGAATGAAAATAGGAATATTTCCATTTAGGATTTTTCTAAATTACTAAATAAATCCAAAAGTATTACTTAACAATTATATACTGTGCATTATAATATTGCACTAATTCTTACTGATCAATTTGAAGTTTTCTTTTCTACAATCATTTCTTCACTAGCATCCTGGTATGAAAGCTTTTCAGGAAATAGTATACTTGGTTTGTTTTTTGAATTCCAATAGATTCAATCGATTCTTATGATATAAGCCGTCACATACGCCTCTCCCTAAAGGTAAAAACTGTCACTGAAGTGAATAATGGTGAAGTCACTTCATTCTTTCAAGTATTAGTTGGAGTCTGTTCGATTGAAATAAAACTTACTATTCAGACTTCTTTAAGTGTGCCGACAATCTTTAGCCAACAGATTTTAGTTCCCGGTCCGGAACTAAAGTTGTAGTTTTAAATTTCCATTTTTTTAAAATACTAGTGACGATACTTGAAATTCCCTCAGTTCTTTTAGAAGAACGATGTGTAAGGATTTTCACTAGGAAATATATAGAACTTTGAAAGAAGAAATTCGATGATTACTTTTAAGTAGCGACGATAACTCAGCTATACACTTAATATATTCACGAAGCCTCTCAGTATAAGATTCGATCGTCTGATCATCTGAACTATAATTACTATTGGAAACCAGACTTGGCCTTTTCAATAGAATTCATTTTATTAAACAACTTTTCATTTCTTGTTCTAGCCATACATTGGGAAGATGCATTAAATGGTACTGTTTATATATCCATTGTTGAACGATTTAGTGAAATAATTTTATATGACGACAAAGGAATTTTTTTCAATACAACAACAGAAATGCGTCGTGTTTATAATCGTTTTGCGACGCCGGGTACGAAAGCATGTTTAACATTAAGTGGAGGGTTTGAAGCATTTCGGACATTTTTTCCCTTCATTTGTACACAAACGGATGTGCGTTCAACTGTAGATCGAGAAAAATTCCTTACTATTTATCCATCCGTTGTTATTGATAATCAACTTTATCTTGGTAAGCATAAAAACAAATTAAACCAGCCGTTTCTTAGAATTTTCCTTGTTTCTTTTCTTTCCTTTTGATTAGGTACTGGCCATCAGGCAACTAATTGGAAAGTTATACGTGATCTTAAATTAACTCACATTATAAATATATCTGTTGAACATCAATGTGTATTTCCTGACAAAATAAAATATCTACATTTACAATTGGAAGACATGGAAGATGTTTTGCTTAAAGATCGTTTTGATGAAACAATTCGTTTCATGGATTCAGCATTTCAAAATCCATCAAATCGTATACTTGTTCATTGCAATTTAGGTATATCAAGATCAACAACATTGATTCTTTCGTATTTAATGAAAACATATAATGCTACATTACTCGAGGCTTTTAAATATTTAAGACATCGACGTCCGATTGTTTGTCCTAATGTTGGTTTTCTTCGGCAATTAATTGATTATGAATTCGAACTTTTTTCTCATGCATATTCAGACCCAAACGATCCAATATTTCATTAAATCTAAGACACAACTTTTTATTTCCTAACGTACAAATTTGTCATACTATATGATTGTGTGTTTATTTTTCCTTCTGGTGCACTCTTTTTAAATTCTATTCATCTTAAATTGTTATATTGATAGTTGACAATAAAAGAAAACAAAATCTCCATCTGTCCGTATCATAATTATTGATTGATAATCAGAGACGATATGCGAATCATTTGTCGCTCTATAAAACACTTCGGCGTTTCGAACATTTCTTCATTTCCAAAAAGCAATGGCGGTAAGAAAGTATTCTTTTTGCTTTTTTTTCTCAGTGGTACAAAAATTTCTGTAATAAAAACAATGCATAAACCAAAACTATGGATTTCAATCGTTGTGATACATTTACAAAAAAAAAACACAACGAACGCGATTTATTTTCATTGAATAAATTCATAAAATTTAGCATTTCTTATTTCCCATAGAACGTATCATGACAAGAACCACCGAAATTAATCTTATGCGAGAGACGATGGACAAATTTTTTTCCACTGATTTTGTCACTATACTACTAATTGCTTATATTCGTAATTCATGCATTCGATATAATCTATTAAAATACACGTATACAGTTTAACCAATTAAGAAGCCATAAAAAAAAACATGACAAGTAATCAAACCACTAATTGAAAAATCGTCTTGCGTTCTTTGATCATACAGCCATCATAAGTATATCATGCAGATGATTGAAATGATCTTGTGTATAGCTGGAAAAAAAATATTTTGATGATATTGTTATCCATTTCATTTCTTAATTCTAGCTCGCAGTAATGTCTCATCGTCTCGAATCACTATCACCATTATTTGTATCACCACTTGATCGTTCAAATTCTAATATGCTAACAACGAATTCAACTGTTGTGAAAAATCTTCAAGTTCTTTTCGATCAACAATCATCATTACCCTTAGTTCAACGTTCATCTCATCGTGATCTTAAGCGTATATCATCACTAACGGTAATAGATTAAAAATATTGAAATTTGTTCGATATTAAATGTTTCTATACGACTTTTAGTTGGTATCGCTTTTGAATAAACAAACAAACAATTTATTGATTATTGATGCTCGCTATCCATTTGAATATTCTGGTGGTCATATAAGTGCAGCTATTAATGTTTATACTGAAAACGATCTACGTTTGCTATTTACTAAATTGATGTCTTCCACATGTCGTCCATCGATAATTGTCTTTCATTGTGAATTTTCATCTGAACGTGGTCCACGTTTATGTCGTTTATTTCGTTCATTAGATCGTCAATATAATATGGCAAATTATCCATATTTATCATTTCCTTCCATTTATTTGCTTGATGGTGGTTATGCAGAGTTTTTTCAACATTCATTTTGTAAAGAATATTGCGTACCACAAACGTACATATCAATGTTTGAACAACAATATACGCAAGAACTAAAAATATATCGTCACGCAAAAAAACTTGCCCATGGACGAATTATAACAAAAAAATTAATTGAAAATCCAGGTCCCATTCATCTTTGTTTATCGTAGACTATTTTATTCAATGTTTGTATGCTTTTAAAATTCAATAAATATACGATAACCATGATAACGTCTGACCACGATGTACAATATTTCATAGGAAATAGTTTGGATTGGTTTGTTTTTCTTTAGTGAATCTTGAATGTATATTACAAAGTTATATTTTTGATCATACGATGATCTCGAAAATTTCACTTGGTTTCGTGTCCTGCAAGACATCATTAAAAAGATTGATATGTTTTCGCGATATGAATATAATGTAAAATTCAGGATCATGTTTCTTTTATCAAAAATGACGTTTGCATTTCATTATCATTGTTTAGATGTTTTTGCTTTGAATTCTATTGATATTATGCAATGGAATTTGGAACCGATTTTAGCAATCAATAATGAATGATTCACAATGCTCACAGTAATTCATTCATGTATACTTGTTGATATGTCTTTGTATTAATTGGCAAAACACGGCGAGTCTAGTAGTTGTGCCAACTTTTTGTTCGCTATTTCAGAAATAACGAACTTAGAAAATATCAAATTACATTCTCTATTGAAGAATTGTGTAGTGCTTCTATTTTCTTTTTATTGCGGTGTAAAGTACATCATACGGAGTGGTTGTGAGGTTATCTATGTTTGTGATACGTGATGCGAAATAGTTACTTCTTGATATGTTGTTAACAGAACACAGAGCTATCCAGTTATTTTTGAAACTGTTTTACGAATTTCCAAGCTGCTAAATAGTCTTTGTGCATAATAGGAAATTGTATTTTGTTGTTTATTTGCTCTATGAAATTAGTATTTTCACGTGATGAAGCATTCTCTTCGATAGAAGAGACGAAAGAAAAAGTCGATAAGTATGAGATAATCAAAACAATGCTGAGCAGTAGTATTGAGTGTTTTTTTTTAGATAGAATTTAGTTGCCAACTGTTGAGAGTCTTCTTGATATTTGTATTCTATTATTTTCACGAATATAAAACTAGAACAGATCGGAACAATACATTACAAGTTAGTTAAGGACTTCCATGCATTAATGTATTATAAAGTGTGTATACTACGATAAACCCTGATGACTTTCGTTGATTACAAACCTTGTTTATTGTAGACATATTTAATTGGTTTGTATAACTTCAAAAGCAATACTTTTAGTTCTTAAATTATGCGAAGACTTTTATTTCACTTCACTAGGCAGTGCCATTAATTCGAATATTTTTATAATCAAATAAACGATGAGTCCAGTTCGCGGAAAGCTTCATATTACAAAACTCATTCTGTGTACTTTATCACATAGAATCCTTATAATGAATAATATACTACACGTCTTCGCCTTTCCTTAAAATACGTTGTGATCTGAATATTTATGGGCAATAGATATTTTATTTAAAGTAATCATTCATCTTATGCCATCTGAAAGTTAGCGATGGATTTATAGAAATATTTTCAATTCTTAATAGAATGTTTTTCCTTTCCCTTTTTCTTTTTTGAAAGTAGAGATAATTTTTCTTTTGGTAATTATGTTATCTAATGATGTATCAAGTTATTAGAATAATGATGATTGAATCTTATACGTAGGATAGTATAGCACAGTAGCGGAAATTGAATCCAACATTGTGTAACTGAGCGAGTAAGACAAAAAAAAACAAATGCAACATTGATCATAACGATATAAAGACTTCGTGAGTGTGGTGTATATTTTGTAATCAAAACATTTAGAAATGTCTTGCATACGATAGAATGAAAACGAGCAAATCATTCTGACGATTGTATAAATGTGATTAAGTAAGAACACTTCTTAAAAATAAGTAGGAGTGGCATAGCTGTTTTATAAGAAAAATACCCCTATAACTTCTGAAATAAAGATGTTGACTGGTGAGATAGTCTATATTGTCAAAGAATATTTCTTTCATCGAGAAAAAGATTTATTTAATAGAAGCTTCCGCTTTACATGAGTTGTACTGAATAAATATAAAATAAGTATTCTCTTGAGGAAAGAAACGATTAATACTGATCGAAAGAATTGATCGATGAGAAGATAATTTAGATTTCATTAGTGAAAAAAAATCAAACATGATCAATAAATATACTGAGTCATTTTCGACGTTATAGGATTTAATGAAATTATTTCATGAGAACAATACTCTATGTATATTTTTGGCATTCTGTTTCATACTAATCTCTTCTCTGGTTCATTGCCTAGAATATAATGGTATCAAGTGTAATCGTTCGCCTTTTAAATAGAATATTTATTGTAATTGGTCAAAATCTTAGTATTCTTGGTAGTTAAGTTATTCACGGAGAAAAAAATTGTAGAGAAGTTTTTCTCTCTTCAATCAAAAGAGTTCGCTGTTCTAAAGCGAATATTTTGTCGACATTTTCGGAAATAAAGGGGAATTTTTGTAGTATAATAATTGGCAATAGTTTGACTTCACACGTATTCGTCTTTTTTCTGTGTTACCAATAAAGAATTTGCGTAAGGTGCGAGTAATTCAAAATTACAGCACCTCTTCTTTTTTTGCTTAAACATGTATCATAAGATTCTCATTTTTACGTTGATCACGAATATCTACTTAGTTTTTCAATTTAACAAAACATTCGTGGAGAAAAACGCAAGATACTAAGAGGATCTAAAAATCAGTCAAAAAATTCTTTTACAACAAACAACGTGTATTTCTCTAATGTTACACTTTTCACTCTCACCAATATGATTTTAGAATTCCTCATCGAAAAACAAGTCTAGCAGTAACATATATATGTTACTGCTAGACTTGTTTTTCGATGAGGAATTCTAAAATCATATTGGTGAGAGTGAAAAGTGTAACATTAGAGAAATACACGTTGTTTGTTGTAAAAGAATTTTTTGACTGATTTTTAGATCCTCTTAGTATCTTGCGTTTTTCTCCACGAATGTTTTGTTAAATTGAAAAACTAAGTAGATATTCGTGATCAACGTAAAAATGAGAATCTTATGATACATGTTTAAGCAAAAAAAGAAGAGGTGCTGTAATTTTGAATTTACCAGCATCTTAGTATGGTACTCACTTGATGTTCTAATCATTTGCCCAGTCGTGTGTGTTTTCGAGAACAAAGTTCTACTAATTATGAACGCATCGGCTACAATGAATAATGAAAGAGATAGTTTAAAATTTTCTTTTTGATCGTAGTTGTTACGATAAACAAGTAAGAGAATTGAATAGCTACTTGTTTATTTCTAAGAATGAGCAAGTTTTTGTTTTGAAATCGTTTGAATTTGAATTTATCAATATTTATAGTATTTATATGTTTCTTCTATATACTTTGTTGTTCATTTGAAAAAGAAATTGTATATCTCTGTTTTATGTAAATTGAAAAGTCTGTTGAATAGAAAAATGGCTAGCATAGCTCTCTACACGGATAACAGTATACCTCATTTACATCTGTATAACGTCGACAAATGTATTGACTTTATGATAATAATAATGATGATAATGGCAATGAATGTAGCCTTGGACTTGAATTGAGAAAGTGTTATCGAGCTAGCACTCGAGGAGGGATAAAGCTCCTGTTACTTCTTAGTTTCTTCCATCTGGAATGATGCAACTATTTATATTGACCTCTTTATTTCTATATGTGACGTGATAGCTGCATGTATTATTCATTGATTATTGTTTCTACACGCATAGATGAGAAAAGAAGACAAGAGAAATGCTTAACGTTAATTTGGATTGACATTCCACTTTAGAATTGTGTTTTTTTTCTTGCTTATTATAGAAAAAAAGACCGCATAGGGCAGATTAATCGCTTGAAATATCATTATAAATATAAAAATTCATGAAAAAAAGATATATTTATGGAGAGAGAGAGAGGAAAATCATTAGAAAAAATCCTTCATATTAATTCAAATATACCTAAATGTCGTTTTTGTAAAAAGATAAGCTAGTAGTTGTATTATTTACGGCAATTTTCCCGATATAGCTATCCATAGTGCTAGTTATATTTTCTTTTTCTCTATTCTCTCTGACGATATGTCTTCGCACATAGAAAAAATAATAGTCGAGCAACCGTGACAACCAATAGCATTACAAAGAGATTGCTTATTATGTTGATAATAATCTAATACATTATTATTTTTTTTGTTAGAATCCAAAGACAAATACCATACTGAAACAGTTCATTTCAATAAAGCAGGTGTGTATTCATTCAAATTTCTTCCATGTTTCTGTCGTTACTTCTTTCGAATGTTGTGTCAATAGACACAGATTGTATGTTGTCATATTAGTACATACAACTATATTAGACAAACAATGATGAAAGATAGGTCTACCAACTGATGAAAACGTAATAAAACCATAAGATTCTTGACATACATATACGTATATAGAGATAAGAAAAACAGTAGTATTGGCTTTCCCGAGTAATAAAGATGATAATAACAAAAACATAGCAATAAGATAAGTGTGTTCTTTCCACTTGACGAATATAAGAACAATGAACAATCAACAGCAAAAATAATGTTATATACACTTGGGAACCCTATGACATGTCACATCATCGTATATAGCCGTGCATAGTTATTTTTACACTTATCTTCTTGCTAGTCGTCAGGAAAGTTTTTTTTTAATGATATGATGACAAAGAAAAAGAAGACTTGTTTTGTTTTTTAATCTAAATTTATCCAATTTTAAATAATGTCTTTTTGTCTTCTTCTGATAATTGACGACAAATGCAAATGCTTTATCATAGCTTTTTCTCTATATGTCTTTTGGAAACTACTAATTCAGTTTGTTAAATATCTAGTATGCTTTATGTTCTTCTCTTAGTAGTTACCACTTGATGAATAACGCAATATTTTCGAGTGATGAAAGGTTGCTTGTATTTTTAACTATTACTATACTTTAGCAAGACTCTCTATACGTTAATCATAATTATATTATATGATGTTCTTTATAGGCTTTTCTTCTTCTTTGAAAAAGATAATATAATCAGTTGGTATTCATCATTTTTGATTATGTTTAGATAAGAGTGTCTCTCCAACTATTTTTAACTACAGAAGAATTGTATGTTTTCTTTTTTTTTAATTCTAGGAATCAGCTATTATGTAAGTTTGGTGGTTATCATTGAATGATGAATTGTTCAGAAAGAGAAGATATTGCGCGACAAATCGAATTATATACTTATCCGATATTACTTGCTGTTGGCACACTAGGGAATCTTTTATCATTCATCGTTTTGATTCAAATGCGACAACATAGTGTATATCGATACCTAACATTTATGTCTCTTGCGGACACGATTGTTTTATATATTGGCTTATTACGTGAATTACTCTTATCGTCAAGTTTTCATATCCATATTCATGGAACCATTTTATGTAAATTACATGTTTTCTTTTTCTAGTGAGTCAACTATTTTGATGGAAACATAAATAAATAAATAAAATTCTATGTTTTTAGTAATACTCTTCATTTATCATCTTGGTTTCGATGTTGCTTAAATTTAGATCGTTATATTGCTGTTAAATTTCCTATCTACACATCGAAATGGTGTCGTACCCGACAAGCAACAATTAATTCAACCATTGTATTTACAATTTTATTTTTAGCTAATGTTCATTTATTAATATTTGTTCAAAATGGTGATCATAATAATAATGATAATCATCATTCTTTGAGTGCTAATCGATCAACCGTTAATCCATTCCAATATCAACAATGTTATCTACATGAAGATTATGTATATTTTTTTGAACATATCTATACATGGATTGATATGTTTCTTGTAACAATAATCCCATTTTTATTTATTACTTTATGTAATTTAACTGTTATCAACCGGGTTTTTCTTGTATCAGGTTCAGGTAAAAAGACTGATTTAGTTAGCCGTTCAAAAGCAACAAATCGTTTACGTTCACTTTGTCTTATGATGATATGCTCATCGTTCGTATTCGTTGCCACAACATTACCAGTCACAGCATTTATTATCGATTTATTATCAAATAAATCATCTATTGATGTAATGCGTTGTCGAAGAATACAATGGACCATTTATAATATATTGATGTATTTTAATTACGCAAGTATTCTAAGTTATTGTTTATCTGGCACAGAATTCCGACATGTTTTAATGAACACCATACGTATGAAAAGTAAACCAAGTTTTGCTTCAATATTTCAAACAGATATGATGAACGCTGTTAATCTACGTCGAACATCAACACCTCAACAATCAAATAGAGTTGCTGTTGATTCTGAAGACAAACCACGATGTCGTTCATTATCTGTTGTTGTTTTACCATCAATGAAATTAAATAAAAATCATACTGTTTCAAAAACAAATCATAATAATAATACAAAATATCTAGATATTCAACGAGTAAACTGTCGTGCTAACGATAAACATTCATGGTCAAGTCAAACAAATTGTGGTGCCCTAACATTATCATCGACAATTCATAATTCACGAGAAATGGGAAGACGATCAAGCTATTTATTAAATAATCAAGGCGATGATGAAAATCAAAATGTAAAATAATGTATTTAATAAAATTAATATTACTGAAAGTAGTTATTCTTTTATATTACCCGTTGCATTTATATTTGCGTATGATATAAAATTTTCAAGACAAAGACATGAAATGGAAAAATTCGTAATAAACTAAATGAACATTTCGTCTTCTTCTTTCTTGTTTGTTGTTGTTGCTGCTGATATGATCGATTTTGATTATACATATAAAAGAAACTTCAAAAGTGACTATGGAAAAATCTCACTGAATGATCTTTTCTTGGAAAGAATTTTTGTTGTTTTTTGTGGTCAATAATCTATTTATGTGAAGTAAAAATGACTCTCTGTTATAAATATATGTTTGATGATTCTGGGAGACTATTGTTGTTTCTTTCTTTTGTTATAAATTTTTCTAGGACATGACTCTTTTGGACCACTAGTCGGTAGATAATCGTCATAAAATGTTTTAAGTTAAATTATCTGATAATGTATACACATTAACAAAAGTGGAACATTGTTTATTTTTAGAAGCGATTACATATATATATATATATATATATATCTTCTAACACATATAGTTCTGTTTCTCTAATTCTATCGGAGTATAATCACTAAGAATCTTACTCGTCTAAGTTTTGCCTCAAAGATAATGAGTAGAAAAAAAAAATATAAAATCAAGTATGCATTGTAAATAGATCAAAAGATGACCATGCGATTCTGGGTCTTATTCGCTTAAGTTAACGTAATAGAATCTTTCTTTTGTACAAGAATAGACATAGATTCGTGTAGGATGAACACTCGGAAATTTAATCTTTGATATTTATATTAAGGAAATTTACATTATAGATATGGGATATATTCATTGAATCATATTATCTATAGTAAATTATCTTCTGAATGAATGTCATGAAGATTTTTTAAATGTATTTTTCCCTAAAATATGCTTTTGTTTGTTACTATGAAATTAATGAACCTAAATAATGATTTCATCCATTCAACTCTATATTGATTAAGTTTTGTTATGTGAAAAGTTTATAATTATTGAGTAATATTTTGATTAAATTGTTTCCTAATCATTTGACTACTCCTTGTTTTTGTACTTTTTTTAAAAGATGAAACAATCACGAACTCAATTGTCCTGATCGGGTGTAAGAGGATGTTTTCAAGTCAATGCTGTGCCTCATGTATATATTGACATCACAAATGAAAAATAAAGAACAGGAATTTCTGTTCATTAACCAAAAATGACGAGGAGACGAAGAAAAACACAGTTTTTGAAGCTAAAAAAATAATTCTAAATATAACGAGCACTTTGACAATAATAAAATGACTAACGAATATTAATCAATCTATTCGTAATCAATCGGGGTCATGTTATTCGTTGAACTTTTCCATGCAGCTTCGAGTATTGCCGTGGTTTTAAGTGCATCTTCAATATCAGTTAACGGCTGATCATTCTTATTTTCGCATCGACGTATAGCTGCTGCCATCGGCCCTATGAATGCATGTGGAAAACGGCTTCGTGCTTCCAAATCAATATCAATCCATTTGCCATCCGTAATTTCATCCGAACAAATCTAGAAAAAGAATACTCGGACAAATATTGTCAATCAGCTGTAAAACAATTGGAGTTTTACTTGTAAATAATCTGTTTGTTTTCCTTCTATATTTTCTCCGTATGCAAGATTATCGCCTAATTGTGCCTTAGCTGCACCTCGAGTTCCTTCAACTAATAAATAAGATTGCGCATGTTTGGTACCCCATCGATGATGGTGATTTGTATAAATATTTACATATAACATTGGATCATGTTTGTATTCAAATGAGTAAGACGATCGAACTGGTGATAAATGTGGCATCGCTGCATGTCGACTACTACGACAATTAACAGTACTCGGTTCATACGGCTTTGAAAGATCACGTATCAAATCGACATAATGTACTGAATGATATGTGAGTTCAAGACGTGGCACAGTTGTGAGAAATGGCCATGATGACCATGGCATATGTACATTCACATGTATTTCAATAGTTGTTAATCGGTCACCTAGCCAACCACGCTGAATAGCATCTTTAAGAGCAACAATATAGGGTGCATAGCGAAGTTGAAAATTTATCGAGCCAGAAATTTGACGTTGTTTACATATATTAACAATTGATTGTGCCTGTGCAAGATTTTCACCCATTGGTTTTTGAATGAGTGCATGAGAATTTATTGGAAGTTGTTTAAGAATCGATTCTATCTGTTTTGATGGAACAGCTAAATCAAAGATAACATTTTCATTGTTTGCTGTTGCACATGCTTCGTCGATTGTATTATAGACTTTCGGAATATTCCATTTACTAGCTACTGCCAATGCTTTTTGTCGATCTGTATCATAAATACCTTTGACAGGGAATCCAGCTATTTTATAAGCGGGTAAATGTCCTAACGTAACGATTGCACCAGCACCAACCAATATAATTGGATAATCCAATGGGTTTTTAGGTAAACTAGGTATTAAGTTTAATCGTGGGATAGATGTTAAGAAACGATTCATTTTACGATCAATGCTCTTTAGTAGTACTCTTTCAATTTCAGGGTATCAATAACAAGATGTGATTAAATAATCTTATTATCTAAGGTGGGAATAATCCAAAATTAGAGCAAATTTTGTTTCTTTTAAACACCATTAGATAGAGCTCGTCGAGCTGAGTAAGAGTATGTCTTTGAATTTTTTCTTCTGAAATGATTATGTGAAAATATTTCCACTTTTTTCAATTCAGTTGAAAAATCGTATTTTTCCTAATAATATGGATATCTTCAATGTTTCTTGAAATTTTAATAGAAATTTCGTTTTGTTGGAATTTTTAAAATAGTCTATTCGGATTCCTCGTGAAAAGCTGCGTCTATTTAACCTATTTTAGACGTCACTTTCCGAAAATTTATCTATGGAATTTCTTAAAGGATATCGACCAAAATATCCAAAATATGACATCTTGGCAACATTTTTAAAAGTCTATCTAGATTTTTTTCTGTTAAAAGATATAGCCCTGTTCTATATGCTATTAGAGCCAGCAGATATTGCGCTACAAAAGTATAACTTTACTTTCTTGAAATATTGATTCATTCAAGAAAATCGCCCTTCAATATTGATTCAGAATGACAAAAACATGAAATTCAGCTAGTAGCCCACGGTTTTCTTCATCGAAACGCGACTATTCTACCAGAAACGTGATCGATTCGGAATCAACATGAGAAATTACGCCGATTGAGCAATATTGTAAAATGTTTGCTTGCTTTTTAGTTTTTCATGAAAATTTAGACTTTTCTGGGGGGTCAAAATTTAGCGAAAAGTCAAAGCCTTCGGAAATGAAAGA